TGGGGCAGGTCCACCAAACAGAACAGGGCAAGGATTGACCTTCCCCTGTCTCTGTGGCTGCACCCTGCTTTATCGCCTGCTCTCTGCCTATACCCTGCCTATCCTTCCTTTCTATTCTCCTGCTCATGGCTGGTTCCCCAAAAACACCAATGGCTGCAGGGACCCGGTGAAGTGGACAGCCATCCTGGAGGGTTTGCGGTAGAAGCCCCTGGTGATTGCCTTCCTCCAGGAGACACGCAGCAACATGTATGATCAAGCCAACTGGCACACTGCCTGCAGAGGCCACTTGTTTCTAAGCCACAGTACCAACGTCAGTGCCAGGGTAGCGACCCTCCTCTTGACGCAGCTGCAATACGACTCAGCGGTGGCACGAGAGGTTGTCCCTGGCCAGCTGCTGACCATCCCCCTTACCCTGGCACACCAGAGCCTGGTCTATGTGCCCACCAAGGGGAGGGAAAGGGTAGCCTTCTTGGAGACCCTGGGTGACCTACTGCATGACACCAGCAAGAGCAATGACCTGCTGCTCATGAGCAGGGCCTTCAATTGCACCATCGACACGTGGCTAGACCAGACAGGGGTGGAGGGAGGTGGGCAGCTCAACACAGGAGCGCCCCCTACTGGCCCACCACACACACCAATACACCTGGGCAAAGATGAGCACCAACAGGATCACTATGGCACACCTGAACCACCTCTACATTGCCCAGCACCATCTACCATTACTGCACAACAGCTGCATCATCCCATCAGGCCTCTCGGACCATGTCATGGTCTGCTGTGAACTCAGCCTGCCCAGCAAGGCACTCACACAGGCCCCTTAATCCTGCCTCAACATCAGCCTGCTACAGGACACCTGTGGCAGGGCACTGTAGGTGCCTTCATGGTCTGCTGTGAACTCAGCCTGCCCAGCAAGGCACTCACACAGGCCCCTTAATCCTGCCTCAACATCAGCCTGCTACAGGACACCTGTGGCAGGGCACTGTAGGTGCCTGCCACTTTAAGGGCCTGACCCAAGCGGACAGCCGGGGGCCGAGTGGCCAGCAGGTGCCTGATTGTGGCAGCCATTTTAGATTCCCAGCTGCCTTTATAATCAGATCAGTTTCCTGCTGGCAGAGGCGGCAGCAACACTGCCTGGCTGTAAGGCTGCAGCTATCATCCTGGAGGGAAGGGCAGGACTGTAGAGGATGGTTAGAGGCTCCTGACCCTGGGCATGACCTAAAACTGCACCCTGCTGGAAGTGGGTGGCCTGGTGGGGCTCTCAGTGGCACTGGAGCCCCAGGAAATGCCAGGCCAGTGACCACCCGGGTGAGAGGCGAGTAGGGGTGCCTTAACCCCAGCCCTCACCTTTGGGTAGGTAGAGAGCAACATCTGTAGCCAGGCACAATGACCTGCTGCTCCAGGGGGGAAGTGAGAGTCCCCATGAGACCCTGGATTTAGATTGGACATTAGGAAGAACTTCTTCACAGTTAGAGTGGCCAAGGTCTGGAACGGGCTCCCAAGGGAGGTGGTGCTCTCCCCTAGCCTGGGGGTCTTCAAGAGGAGGTTAGATGAGTATCTAGCTGGGGTCATC